GAGGGGAGGGAGGGCTCAGTGGGGAGGAGGGGCTGCAGTGGTCTTGGGCTCAGTGGGGAGGAGGGGGCTGCAGTGGTCTTGGGCTCAGTGGGGAGGAGGGGGGCTGCAGTGGCCTTGGGCTCAGTGGGGAGGAGGGGGCTGCAGTGGTCTTGGGCTCAGTGGGGAGGAGGGGGCTGCAGTGGCCTTGGCTCAGTGGGGAGGAGGGGGCTGCAGTGGTCTTGGGCTCAGTGGGGAGGAGGGGGCTGCAGTGGTCTTGGGCTCAGTGGGGAGGGAGGGGGCTGCAGTGGTCTTGGGCTCAGTGGGGAGGAGGGGCTGCAGTGGTCTTGGGCTCAGTGGGGAGGAGGGGGCTGCAGTGGTCTTGGGCTCAGTGGGGAGGAGGGGCTGCAGTGGTCTTGGGCTCAGTGGGGAGGAGGGGGGCTGCAGTGGTCTCATGCTCAGTGGGGAGGAGGGGCTGCAGTGGTCTTGGGCTCAGTGGGGAGGAGGAGGCTGCAGTGGTCTTGGGCTCAGTGGGGAGGAGGGGGCTGCAGTGGCCTTGGGCTCAGTGGGGAGGAGGGGGGCTGCAGTGGCCTTGGGCTCAGTGGGGAGGAGGGGGCTGCAGTGGCCTTGGGCTCAGTGGGGAGGAGGGGGGCTGCAGTGGCCTTGGGCTCAGTGGGGAGGAGGGGGCTGCAGTGGTCTTGGGCTCAGTGGGGAGGAGGGGGCTGCAGTGGCCTTGGGCTCAGTGGGGAGGAGGGGGCTGCAGTGGCCTTGGGCTCAGTGGGGAGGAGGGGGCTACAGTGGTCTTGGGCTCAGTGGGGAGGAGGGGACTGCAGTGGCCTTGGGCTCAGTGGGGAGGAGGGGGCTGCAGTGGTCTTGGGCTCAGTGGGGAGGAGGGGGCTGCAGTGGCTTTGGGCTCAGTGGGGAGGAGGGGGCTGCAGGGTCCTCAGGCTCAGTGGGGAGGAGGGGGCTGCAGTGTCCTCATGCTCAGTGGGGGAGGAGGGGGCTGCAGTGGGGAGGAGGGGGCTGTAGTGGTCTTGGGCTCAGTGGGGAGGAGGGGGCTGCAGTGGTCTCTTGCTCAGTGGGGAGGAGGGGCTGCAGTGGCCTTGGGGCTCAGTGGGGAGGAGGGGGGCTGCAGTGGTCTTGGGCTCAGTGGGGAGGAGGGGGCTGTAGTGGTCTTGGGCTCAGTGGGGAGGAGGGGGCTGCAGTGGTCTTGGGCTCAGTGGGGAGGAGGGGGCTGTAGTGGTCTTGGGCTCAGTGGGGAGGAGGGGCTGCAGTGGTCTTGGGCTCAGTGGGGAGGAGGGGGCTGCAGTGGTCTTGGGCTCAGTGGGGAGGAGGGGGCTGTAGTGGTCTTGGGCTCAGTGGGGAGGAGGGGGCTGCAGTGGTCTTGGGCTCAGTGGGGAGGAGGGGGCTGTAGTGGTCTTGGGGCTCAGTGGGGAGGAGGGGCTGCAGTGGCTTTGGGCTCAGTGGGGAGGAGGGGACTGCAGTGGTCTTGGGCTCAGTGGGGAGGAGGGGCTGCAAGTGGTCTTGGGCTCAGTGGGGAGGAGGGGGCTGCAGTGGTCTTGGGTCAGTGGGGAGGAGGGGGCTGCAGTGGTCTTGGGCTCAGTGGGAGAGGAGGGGCTGCAGTGGTCTTGGGCTCAGTGGGGAGGTGGGGGGGGCTGCAGTGGTCTTGGGCTCAGTGGGGAGGAGGGGCTGCAGTGGTCTTGGGTTCAGTGGGGAGGAGGGGGCTGCAGTGGTCTTGGGCTCAGTGGGGAGGAGGGGCTGCAGTGGCTTTGGGCTCAGTGGGGAGGAGGAGGCTGCAGTGGCTTTGGGCTCAGTGGGGAGGAGGGGGCTGCAGTGGTCTTGGGCTCAGTGGGGAGGAGGGGGCTGCAGTGGTCTCATGCTCAGTGGGGAGGAGGGGGGCTGCAGTGGCCTTGGGCTCAGTGGGGAGGAGGGGGCTGGTGTGGTCTTGGGCTCAATGGGAGGAGCCTCACCTTGATGCAGTGGTAGGTAGCATTGGTGGCACACACCAGATTGCTGTTGGGCCAGCCGTCCAGGTCTGAGTCTTCCCCGCAGATGAGCCCATCGCCTGCATAGCCTGTCTGGCACTCACACTTGTACATAGGGTCACTGAAGTGGCCCAAGTAGATGCACTCTGCGTGTTTGTGGCAGCTGTGAGTCTTGTCCTTGCATGGATTTTCAGGCTCACACACCTACAGGACCAAGGGCCATGTGGGCCATCAACAGGCCCTGGTCAGGAAAGCCTAAGGCTATGGCTGGAGCCATTGGGTGTCCCACAAGCCCTTCCTGAGTGGACAGGGGCCATGGTGGCAGCCAGGGAGCAGGTATCAGGAGTTGGGCTAACTCTGGGCCTGGTCTGAGGCCTTTGCCAAGGCTCTGAGAAGTAGAGCATCCTTTCGAAGCCTGCTCCAGCTCGCATGGCCATCACGTTCTCCGTGTGGGTGGAGTATGTCCCTAGATAACTCAAGAACTGAATGTCTCCAGCCACGGCACACACCGAGAGCTTCACCCCAACCACACACAGAGGGCCATGGTATGTCCCTGGAGCTCTCTCCTCAGAAGTGGATTCATAATTGTAGACTTCAGTCTTTTGCCTTCTCTAGACTTCTCTCTGTTCTCTACCTCCCACCACAGGGAGCATGGTGAAGGGGCCCTCACTACATGCCAGGCCTATGGCCCTGGACTTCCCGGCTTCCAGAAGTAAGTCTCTCTTCTTTGTAATTGACCCAACCTTGAGCACCATGCTACAACAGATTAGACTAAGAGATCAACGTCCTATAAAAAAAGTTGTTCCTGATGCTCATGAATTCTTTGATCCAAAGCTTGGATTTGAATGCTCAGAGGAGTATCACCAAGTGAAAAGTCTTCTCTGGGGGAGATACACCCCAGAGCTCCCCTCAAATGCAGCTCCATTCTCTTATCCATAGCATCTCCATTTTCTCTGGACTTGCCTGATTTTCTTCAAAGCCTTTACCAACACACAGGAAAGGCCAGCCTCGCTTACCTGTTTTTCTGTCCTGGCAGCATCCAGGCCAACTCCAAAGGGCTGGCTTCCCTTGTAGCGTGGGGGACAGGGCAGGCAGTGGAAGCCAGGTAGGGTGTTGACGCAGCGGGAAACTTTGCTGGTAGAGAAGCAAATGTCTGTGACCACAGCACACTGCAAAGACAAGCAGATGGAAGTCACCAGGGGTCCCTTGTGGTGCACTGGGGCCCAGGGTGGAACAGAGACCTACCTCATCCAGGTCCTCACAGTGAGTGCCGTTGCCCAGGAAGCCCACAGGGCACGAGCCACAGGACCATGACCCATCAGCAAAGCTGGTGCACTCCGTGCCCGGAAAGCAAGGGTTGGACAAACAGCCATCTGCGTGGAGAAGCAAAACTAAGTACACCGCAGGTAGCACTGTCCTCACTCGGCACCCAGCGCTCAGCAGAAGGAAGCATGTCCCAGAACAGACGCCCTAAAGCTATGTGCTGGACATACTAGAATTATACACAATGCAGAAAGTGGACAGACATCTGTCCATCCCATCTGAGAATCGACAGTTACCCACCTCTCCTCCCAGAGAATACTGTTAAATGATAGAATGTAAATTGCAAGATCATGTGCACACTGTAATTCCTGACTTCACAATTTCCACACTGTTTATGTAAATATTCTCTGCTTTCACACACACACAGCAAGGAGGCAAAAATAATGCCATGTACACACAGAAAAGGTTTTCCTGTTTCTATTTCCCCAAATGTTAGACTTCATCAGAATAAAGGCTAGCAACTTTATCACAGGTATCAGCAGTTCGTGTACTCCTAACACATACCTGCAGTGAGTCCTGTGGCGTCCACCCTCCCATACACACACCTGCAGTGAGTCCTGTGACGTCCACCCTCCTGTGCACACCTGCAGTGTCCTGTGACGTCCACCATCCCATGCACACCTGCAGTGTCCTGTGATGTCCACCCTCGCGTGCACACCTGCAGTGTCCTGTGATGTCTACCCTCCCGTGCACACCTGCAGTGTCCTGTGACGTCCACCCTCCCCTGCACACACCTGCAGTGAATCCTGTGACATCCACCCTCCCATGCACACACCTGCAGTGAATCCTGTGACATCCACCCTCCCATGCATACCTGCAGTGTCCTGTGATGTCCACCCCTCCTGCACACACCTGCAGTGTCCTGTGACGTCCACCCTCCTGTGCACACCTGCAGTGTCCTGTGACGTCCACCCCTCCCATGCACACGTGCAGTGTCCTGTGACGTCCACCCCTCCTGCACACACCTGCAGTGTCCTGTGACGTCCACCCTCCTGTGCACACCTGCAGTGTCCTGTGATGTCCACCCTCCCATGCACACCTGCAGTGAGTCCTGTGGCGTCCACCCTCCCGTGCACACCTGCAGTGTCCTGTGACGTCCACCCCTCCTGCACACACTTGCAGTGTCCAGTGACGTCCACCCTCCCATGCACACCTGCAGTGTCCTGTGACGTCCACCCCTCCTGTACACACCTGCAGTGAGTCCTGTGACGTCCACCCTCCCGTGCACACCTGCAGTGTCCTGTGAGGTCCACCCCTCCTGTACACACCTGCAGTGAGTCCTGTGACGTCCACCCCTCCTGTACACACCTGCAGTGTCCTGTGACGTCCACCCTCCCGTACACACCTGCAGTGTCCTGTGACGTCCACCCTCCCGTGCACACCTGCAGTGTCCTGTGACGTCCACCCTCCCGTGCACACCTGCAGTGTCCTGTGAGGTCCACCCCTCCTGTACACACCTGCAGTGAGTCCTGTGACGTCCACCCCTCCTGTACACACCTGCAGTGTCCTGTGACGTCCACCCTCCTGTACACACCTGCAGTGTCCTGTGACGTCCACCCTCCCGTGCACACCTGCAGTGTCCTGTGACGTCCACCCTCCCGTGCACACCTGCAGTGAGTCCTGTGACGTCCACCCTCCTGCACACACCTGCAGTGTCCAGTGACGTCCACCCTCCCGTGCACACACCTGCAGTGTCCAGTGACGTCCACCCTCCTGTACACACCTGCAGTGTCCTGTGACGTCCACCCTCCCCTGCACACACCTGCAGTGTTCTGTGACGTCCACCCTCCCGTGCACACCTGCAGTGTCCTGTGACGTCCACCCTCCCGTGCACACCTGCAGTGTCCTGTGATGTCCACCCCTCCTGTACACACCTGCAGTGTCCTGTGACATCCACCCTCCTGTACACACCTGCAGTGTCCAGTGACGTCCACCCCTCCTGTACACACCTGCAGTGTCCTGTGACGTCCACCCCTCCTGTACACACCTGCAGTATCCTGTGACGTCTACCCTCCTGTACACACCTGCAGTGTCCAGTGACGTCCACCCTCCCGTGCACACCTGCAGTGTCCTGTGACGTCCACCCTCCCGTGCACACCTGCAGTGTCCTGTGACGTCCACCCTCCTGTACACACCTGCAGTGTCCTGTGACGTCCACCCTCCCGTGCACACCTGCAGTGAGTCCTGTGACGTCCACCCTCCCGTGCACACCTGCAGTGAGTCCTGTGACGTCCACCCCTCCTGTACACACCTGCAGTGTCCAGTGACGTCCACCCTCCTGTACACACCTGCAGTGTCCAGTGACGTCCACCCTCCCGTGAACACCTGCAGTGTCCTGTGACGTCCACCCTCCCGTGCACACCTGCAGTGTCCTGTGACGTCCACCCTCCCGTGCACATCTGCAGTGAGTCCTGTGGCGTCCACCCTCCCGTGCACACACCTATGGGGCAGCTCCTCTTGTTGCACATCTGGTGCTCCTTCAGGTCTCCCACGCAATCCTTCCCTCCGTGCTGGGGCTCGGGGCTGTTGCAGACCCTGGAACGCTCCCGGATTCCTCCCGCACAGGTGACTGTACAGGCTGACCATGGAGACCACGGGCTCCAGCGGCCATCAACTGTGGTGAGAACCAGGAGAGGGGACTGAGAGGACACAGGGGCACGGCCATCCAATCAGCTGACAGGAACCGGGGAACTGCAGAGTAAGGCATGAACCAGCCAGGAGATCCTGGTTTGTTCTCCTTCAACTGAGATCCAGGAAGAAAGGGAAACTGAGCTGTTGTGTCCCTTCGAAGTCGTGGTCACGATGGTATAGGTGACAGAACTTATTTGTTCTTCCAGAGGAAAATTCTCATCCCCTTTTCTGAGCAGAAGTACAGGATGGCCAGGAAGCCATGCACACTGGCCTTATCTCTGAACGCCACTGTGAGCCTGAGTCTCCCTGAACGCAGCAGCCATGCAGAGCAGACACACAAACCTGGCCTCTCCAGAGAGAGCCCGGGGCGCTGTAACCACAGCTGTGCCAGCTCACACACGGGCAAAGCCTGCTCTTCCCAGGCCCCTGTTCTGGCTCCTCAGGCTCTGAGTGCAGAGCCTCAGGCCTGGACTGCTCCAGGGCTGCTCAGAGAATGCTGCAATGGCCCTGGGTCACTGGGAACAGCAGCACCCCAGCCCGAGGCTGCTTCTGCATAGACCCCTGCGCTCCAGGCTTTCCCGCAGGAATGGGGGGGCCTGGCTGGCTCCAACTCCCTCCCGGTCCGCCCTTGGCCTCCCCGGCTACTGTGGCCCCGGGCGCAGTGCGGCCGGCTCCCCCCGGCCTCCCCGGATCCCCCGGCCTCCCCGGATCCCCCCCCACCCCGGCCTCCCCGGATCCCCCCCCACCCCGGCCTCCCCGGACCCCCCCCACCCCGGCCTCCCCGGACCCCCCCCCCCACCCCGGCCTCCCCGGATCCCCCCCACCCCGGCCTCCCCGGATCCCCCCCCACCCCGGCCTCCCCGGATCCCCCCCCCACCCTGCCTCTCCGGCTCCCCCGGCCTCCCCCCCTCCCCCGCCCCAGCCCGCCCGCTCTCGCCGCCCCGACCCGCACCAGGCGCTCACCGGGGCACGGGGCGGCCTCGCACGGTCTGGTCTCGCGGCCGCCGCCCCGGCAGCTCTTGCCGCCCATCTGCGGCGTGGGCGAGTTGCAGAGTCGGATGCGCGTGACGTTGCCCGCGCCGCAGGTCGCCGAGCACGAGGACCAGGGCGACCAGTGGCTCCAGCCGCCGTCCTGCCGGACTGGGGGGCAGAGGTCACGCGGGCGCTCGGCGGGGAGGGGAGGCTGACCCGAGGCCCGCGTGACCCCCGCCCCGCCCTGGGAGCCCGCGTGACCCATGACCTTCCCCCCCCCCCCCCCCCCCGCCCTGGGACCCCGCGTGACCCATGATCCCCCCCACCCTGGGACCCCGCCCCACCCCGCCCTGGGAGCCCGCGTGACCCCGCCCCCCGCCCTGGGACCCCGCGTGACCCATGATCCCCCCCACCCTGGGACCCCGCCCCACCCCGCCCTGGGAGCCCGCGTGACCCCGCCCCCCGCCCTGGGACCCCGCGTGACCCATGATCCCCCCCACCCTGGGACCCCGCCCCCCGCCCTGGGACCCCGCGTGACCCATGATCCCCCCCACCCTGGGACCCCGCGTGACCCATGATCCCCCCCACCCTGGGACCCCGCCCCACCCCGCCCTGGGAGCCCGCGTGACCCCGCCCCGCGCGCGCACTCACTGCGGGTGTCGCACTTGTCCAGTGCGCAGGCGCGCGTCTGGATGGAGGCGCCGCGGCAGGCGTGGCTGGTGACGTCACAGGAGCGGCCGCGCTGCTGCGTGCCCACGCCGCAGGTGACGGAGCACTGCGTCCACTCGGCCCACGGGGACCAGCCCGCCTCGGCCTCGCCGGCTGCGGGCGCGCGCGGCCGTCAGCCCGCCCGGCCGCTGCAGCCCCGCCTCGCGGCCCGTCCCCACCCGACGGCCCAGGTCCGCGTCCGCCAGGGCCGCAGACACGCGGGGCGGCCGCGCGGACTCCAGCGAGAAGCCCCACGCGCATGCGCCGAGAGGCGCGCTCGAGCTGGGAAGGGCGGGGGTGAGGGCGGGGGGGGGGGGGTGGAGGAGGGGGGAAGGACGAGAGGAGGGCGGGGGACGGGGAGGGCGGTGGGGAGGACGGAGGGGGGAGAGGATGAGGGCAGGATAGGAGGAGGACTGGGGGAGGATGTGGGGAGGACTGGGGGAGGACTGGGGGAGGACTGGGGGGAGGAGGATGGGAGGATGTGGGGAGGACTGGAGGAGGACTGGGGGAGGATGTGGGGAGGACTGGGGGGAGGATGTGGGGAGGATGTGGGGAGGACTGGGGGGAGGATGTGGGGAGGATGTGGGGAGGACTGGGGGGAGGATGTGGGGAGGATGTGGGGAGGACTGGGGGGAGGATGTGGGGAGGACTGGGGGAGGATGTGGGGAGGACTGGGGGAGGATGTGGGGAGGACTGGGGGAGGACTGGGGGAGGACTGGGGGGAGGATGTGGGGAGGAGGATGTGGGGAGGACTGGGGGAGGATGTGGGGAGGACGGGGAGGACTGGGGGAGGACTGGGGGGAGGATGTGGGGAGGAGGATGTGGGGAGGACTGGGGGGAGGACTGGAGGAGGACTGGGGGAGGATGTGGGGAGGACTGGGGGAGGACTGGGGGAGGACTGGGGGGAGGACTGGGGGGAGGAGGATGGGAGGATGTGGGGAGGACTGGAGGAGGACTGGGGGAGGATGTGGGGAGGACTGGGGGGAGGATGTGGGGAGGACTGGGGGGAGGATGTGGGGAGGACTGAGGGAGGATGTGGGGAGGATTGGGGGGAGGATGTGGGGAGGACTGGGGGGAGGATGTGGGGAGGACTGGGGGAGGATGTGGGGAGGATTGGGGGGAGGATGTGGGGAGGACTGGGGGGAGGATGTGGGGAGGACTGGGGGGAGGATGTGGGGAGGACTGGGGGGAGGATGTGGGGAGGACTGGAGGAGGACTGGGGGAGGATGTGGGGAGGACTGGGGGAGGACTGGGGGGAGGACTGGGGGGAGGAGGATGGGAGGATGTGGGGAGGACTGGGGGAGGACTGGGGGAGGATGTGGGGAGGACTGGGGGGAGGATGTGGGGAGGATGTGGGGAGGACTGGGGGGAGGATGTGGGGAGGACTGGGGGAGGATGTGGGGAGGATTGGGGGGAGGATGTGGGGGGGGAGGAGGATGGGAGGAGGACTGGGGGAGGACTGGGGGGAGGATGGGGGGAGGACTGGGGGGAGGATGTGGGGAGGAGGATGGGAGGAGGACTGGGGGAGGACTGGGGGGAGGATGGGGGGAGGAGGATGGGAGGAGGACTGGGGGGAGGATGTGGGGAGGAGGATGGGAGGAGGACTGGGGGAGGACTGGGGGGAGGATGGGGGGAGGATGGGGGGAGGAGGATGGGGGGGAGGACTGGGGGGAGGAGGATGGGAGGAGGACTGGGGGAGGATGTGGGGAGGAGGATGGGAGGAGGACTGCGGGTGGGGGAGGGGATGGGGGAGGGCGGGGGAGGGTCCAGGCTGAGTTCCAGGACTGGGATTGTGGACAGGTGCAGAGGATCAGGTCAAGGCCCAGCCAGGCAAAGGCCAGCAGAGAGCGGCCGCCACATGCTCAGGACACCCGTGACCGGGAGCCAGGCAGCTGCCCTGTGAGCTAAGCCTTGTACAGGGAAGTGCCCCGCAGTGTGCACACCAGAGTCACCAGCAGTATTCACACTGGACTCATCCAACGGTATTTACACAGGAGCCACCCACAGTATTCACACTGGACTCATCCAATGGTATTCACACTGGACTCACCAACAGTATCACACTGGGGTCACAGTGTTCACACTGGGTCACCAGCAGTATTCACTTGGGGTCAGGCATGACAACTGTTGCTGAAGGGCAGCTTGGGACAGGGCAGGGTGGATGACAAGGACACCGGTGCTCCCAGTGCAGGCTCAGCCAGTGTCTGAGGCCAGGGCAGAGCTGTTTTTGGAACCCCAGTCTCTGACTCTTGGAACACAGCTCTGTAACTTGGGGTGGCCTCTCCAGTTATTGCCTCTAGGCTGGGGATTAAGATTGTTCTCCACATGGTGACCAGTTAGCAACTGCATAGTGTTTGCATACACTTAGAGCCAACTGTGCCTCACATTCACGCCTGGTCCTCACACCCCTCACCGTGGGTCAGGGCTGTGTGCTGACTCACCATCCATACTCACACCCCTCACCGTGGGTCAGGGCTGTGTGCTGACTCACACCTGGTCCTCACACCCCTCACCGTGGGTCAGGGCTGTGTGCTGACTCACCATCCATACTCACACCCCTCACTGTGGGTCAGGGCTGTGTGCTGACTCACCATCCATACTCACACCCCTCACCGTGGGTCAGGGCTGTGTGCTGACTCACCATCCATACTCACACCCCTCACTGTGGGTCAGGGCTGTGTGCTGACTCACACCTGGTCCTCACACCCCTCACCGTGGGTCAGGGCTGTGTGCTGACTCACGCCTGGTCCTCACACCCCTCACTGTGGGTCAGGCCACTGGTCTCGGCAGGATCACTTGGCTCAACCTCCACGTCTGAAATGGCCTCTGATTCCTTGGCCTCGCACACAGTCCTCTGGCCCACCCTGGTTGGTCCCTGGCAGGCTCTTGATGTCCTACTCAGCCCCTTCCACTGCACACTTTGGGAGTCTGTGCCCCACCCTCCTCTTTTCAAACCAAGGAAGCACTCAGCAGACATAGTATCAGCATGCAGAGCCAACCAGTGGCAGCAGACTTACAGAGGGAGCAGGAGGGGCAGCATTCGCCGTCAATGAAGGATGGGTTGGCACAGTTTGCTGGTGGGCACGAGATTTGGTGGCAAATGGTTTTAAATTTCTGCAAGTAAAGAAATGCCTTCTTAGAACTCTTTAAAAGTCACAGGCCTGGGGACACGGCTGTGGCAGGGCTGTTCTTCCACAGAGCCAACCGGACAGTGCGTAGCATGCTCTTCTGTCCCCACTGCCACGGCTGGAGACTGCAGCGGAGGACCAGGGTGGAGGACGCGCTCTTCCCCTATCAGGTGTCTGAGACGGCCTCACAGAAGCTGAGCCTCCAGCAGACTAAAGGGTCTCACTAATTCTGATAATGACTCGTGTTTTCCCAGACGGGTCTGTGGCACAGCTGAGGGGGAAATCTGGGTGGCTTCTAGTGGTTTTCACTCCCTGAGGGTGTTGACCAAGTGACTCAACTCCTCCGAGATTACAAGAGACTGGCGTGAAGTCACCTAAAGCTCTCATCCTCACCCTTCCTTCTGAATCTGAACGCATTAAATACAGCACTGAGGGTGTGGGTCTCGTGCGGGAGGTTGTGTGCGTGCTCGACGGTGGTGAGCGATGAGACCCCTGGGTGGCGGTGGCTTCCTGTGGCCTCACCTTGCAGGTGCACGAAGTACAGCTGTCCATCACCCACGTTTCATTTTCTGCAAAGAACCGACCGTCCTGCAAGCAGCCTGATACGTTCCTGGTCTTCAGAGGGCCTCCGATGAGCTCCAAGAGAAACTGGTTATCGTCCGACTGGAAAGGAGGATAGAGGTTAGGTACAGACAAGAGAGCTCAGCACATTCACCCACATCTACAGGACAGACCTCAACACCTACACCTACAAGATTGATCCCGAACACCCACATCTACAGGATTGACCCTGAACACCCACACCTACAGGATAGACCTGAACACCCACATCTACAGGCCTGTCCCAGAACACCCACATCTACAGGACACCTGAACACCCACACCTACAGGCCTGTCCCACATCTACAGGACAGACCTGAACACCCACACCTACAGGACAGACCTGAACACATCTACAGGACACCTGAACACCCACATCTACAGGACACCTGAACACCCACACCTACAGGACAGACCTGAACACCCACATCTACAGGACAGACCTGAACACACACATCTACATGACAGACCTGAACACCCACATCTACAGGACAGACCTGAACACCCACATCTACAGGACAGACCTGAACACCACATCTACAGGACAGACCTGAACACCCACACCTACAGGACAGACCTGAACACCCACACCTACAGGACAGACCTGAACACCCACATCTACAGGACAGACCTGAACACACACATCTACATGACAGACCTGAACACCCACATCTACAGGACAGACCTGAACACCCACATCTACAGGACAGACCTGAACACCCACATCTACAGGACAGACCTGAACACCCATACCTACAGGACAGACCTGAACACCCACACCTACAGGACAGACCTGAACACACACATCTACAGGACAGACCTGAACACCCACATCTACAGGACAGACCTGAACACCCACACCTACAGGACAGACCTGAACACCCACACCTACAGGACACATGAACACCCACATCTACAGGACAGACCTGAACACCCACACCTACAGGACAGACCTGAACACCCACACCTACAGGACAGACCTGAATGCCCACATCTACAGCACAGACCTGAACACCCACACCTACAGGACACCTGAACACCCACACCTACAGGACAGACCCGAACACCCACACCTACAGGACAGACCTGAACACCCACACCTACAGGACAGACCTGAACGCCCACATCTACAGCACAGACCTGAACACCCACACCTACAGGACACCTGAACACCCACACCTACAGGACACCTGAACACCCACACCTACAGGACACCTGAACACCCACACCTACAGGACAGACCTGAACACCCATATCTACATGACACCTGAACACCCACATCTACAGGACACCTGAACACCCACATCTACAGAACACCTGAACACCCACACCTACAGGACACCTGAACACCCACACCTACAGGACACCTGAACACCCACATCTACAGGACACCTGAACACCCACACCTACAGGACACCTGAACACCCACACCTACAGGACAGACCTGAACACCCACATCTACAGGACAGACCTGAACACCCACATCTACAGGACACCTGAACACCCACACCTACAGGACAGACCTGAACACTCACACCTACAGGACACCTGAACACCCACACCTACAGGACAGACCTGAACACCCACACCTACAGGACACCTGAACACCCACACCTACAGGACACCTGAACACCCACACCTACAGGACAGACCTGAACACCCACATCTACAGGACACCTGAACACCCACATCTACAGGACAGAACTGAACACCCACATCTACAGCACAGACCTGAACACCCACACCTACAGGACACCTGAACACCCACACCTACAGGACACCTGAACACCCACACCTACAGGACACCTGAACACCCACACCTACAGGACAGACCTGAACACACACACCTACAGGACAGACCTGAACACCCACACCTACAGGACACCTGAACACCCACACCTACAGGACAGACCTGAACGCCCACATCTACAGGACAGACCTGAACGCCCACACCTACAGGACAGACCTGAACGCCCACATCTACATGACAGACCTGAACACCCACATCTACAGGACAGACCTGAACACCCACACCTACAGGACACCTGAACACCCACACCTACAGGACACCTGAACACCCACACCTACAGGACACCTGAACACCCACACCTACAGGACACCTGAACACCCACACCTACAGGACAGACCTGAACACCCACACCTACAGGACAGACCTGAACACCCACATCTACAGGACAGACCTGAACACCCACATCTACAGGACAGACCTGAACACCCACACCTACAGGACAGACCTGAACACTCACACCTACAGGACACCTGAACACCCACACCTACAGGACAGACCTGAACACCCACATCTACAGGACACCTGAACACCCATACCTACAGGACACCTGAACACCCACACCTACAGGACAGACCTGAACACCCACACCTACAGGACAGACCTGAACACCCACATCTGTAGGACACCTGAACACCCACATCTACAGGACAGACCTGAACACCCACATCTACAGCACAGACCTGAACACCCACATCTACAGGACAGACCTGAACACTCACACCTACAGGACACCTGAACACCCACACCTACAGGACAGACCTGAACGCCCACATCTACAGGACAGGCCTGAACGCCCACACCTACAGGACACCTGAACACCCACACCTACAGGACACCTGAACACCCACACCTACAGGACACCTGAACACCCACACCTACAGGACAGACCTGAACACCCACACCTACAGGACAGACCTGAACACCCACATCTACAGGACAGACCTGAACACCCACACCTACAGGACAGACCTGAACACTCACACCTACAGGACACCTGAACACCCACACCTACAGGACAGACCTGAACACCCACATCTACAGGACACCTGAACACCCATACCTACAGGACACCTGAACACCCACACCTACAGGACAGACCTGAACACCCACACCTACAGGACAGACCTGAACACCCACATCTGTAGGACACCTGAACACCCACATCTACAGGACAGACCTGAACACCCACATCTACAGCACAGACCTGAACACCCACATCTACAGCACAGACCTGAACACTCACACCTACAGGACACCTGAACACCCACACCTACAGGACAGACCTGAACACCCACACCTACAGGACAGACCTGAACACCCACATCTACAGGACAGACCTGAACACCCACATCTACAGGGCAGACCTGAACACCTACACCTACAGGACAGACCTTAACACCCACACCTACAGGACAGACCTGAACGCCCACACCTACAGGCCTGTCCCAGAACACCCATGCCTGCAGTACAGACCCTGGATACGCATACCAAGCGGCTCCTTGCACATGGGGACAGGGGCAGTCTACACTACTTCCACGGGCTTCCAGCCAGGCTCAGCACCAGGTCACAGAGATGCTGACAGGCGCTTGCTCCCTGTGTCCCCTCACTCATGTTCTTCTGACACCTTCTGCTAGGGTTCCTCTTGGGTGAGCCACCACCTTTCCACTGTGGATCTATGCCACCTACGGCCAGGGCCGCGCCCTGCTTTCTGTTCTCCCTGAGGCTGGCCTGGGCACCGGCAGGACTGTCCTCCCCTGCCACGTCCCCTGGGAAGACGCAGAAGTCACCAAGACAGCCTGATGGCAGCTCCTGCCTACAGACTAGCAATGCGTCTCAGATCTTTGGCCTGCTCCTCACAACACCCATCCTCCCAACAGAGCATCTTCCTCTGAGTGGACATGTTTGAAATTTTCTGGGTGGGGAGGGACTTCCCCCCAAAATAACCATTTTGAAGAATGTGCATGATGCTGTTGTGTTGTGTTTGACTCCTGTGTGTCTCCAGTCCTCACTCTGGTGAGTGTGATGCTGTTGTGTTGTGTTTGACCCGTGTGTCTCCAGTCCTCACTCTGGTGAGTGTGATCCTGTTGTGTTGTGTTTGACCCCTGTGTGTCTCCAGTCCTCACTCTGGTGAGCGTGATGCTGTTGTGTTTGACCCCTGTGTCTCCAGTCCTCACTCTGGTGAGTGTGATGCTGTTGTGTTGTGTTTGACCCCTGTGTGTCTCCAGTCCTCACTCTGGTGAGTGTGATGCTGTTGTGTTGTGTTTGACTCCTGTGTGTCTCCAGTCCTCACTCTGGTGAGTGTGATGCTGTTGTGTTGTGTTTGACCCGTGTGTCTCCAGTCCTCACTCTGGTGAGTGTGATGCTGTTGTGTTTGACCCGTGTGTCTCCAGTCCTCACTCTGGTGAGTGTGATGCTGTTGTGTTTGACCCGTGTCTCCAGTCCTCACTCTGGTGAGTGTGATGCTGTTGTGTTGTGTTTGACCCCTGAGTGTCTCCAGTCCTCACTCTGGTGAGTGTGATGCTGTTGTGTTGTGTTTGACCCCTGTGTGTCTTCAGTCCTCACTCTGGTGTGTGTGATGCTGTTGTGTTGTGTTTGACCCCTGTGTGTCTCCAGTCCTCACTCTGGTGAGTGTGATGCTGTTGTGTTGTGTTTGACCCCTGTGTCTCCAGTCCTCACTCTGGTGAGCGTGATGCTGTTGTGTTTGACCCCTGTGTCTCCAGTCCTCACTCTGGTGAGTGTGTGATGCTGTTGTGTTGTGTTTGACCCCTGTGTGTCTCCAGTCCTCACTCTGGTGAGTGTGATGCTGTTGTGTTGTGTTTGACCCCTGTGTGTCTCCAGTCCTCACTCTGGTGAGTGTGATGCTGTTGTGTTGTGTTTGACCCCTGTTTCTCCAGTCCTCACTCTGGTGAGTGTGATGCTGTTGTGTTTGACCCCTGTGTGTCTCCAGTCCTCACTCTGGTGTGTACAAAGCCAGTACCCTGATGGTCTGACCCAGCCTTCCCCTTGGTGGTGGTGTCTTCAGTGGATTTTGCCCCAGACCAGTGGACAGTTAGACATCCCAAGGACAGGCTTCCTGGGCAGCCAGCGACTGTCCCCCTGACCTCCGGCCCCAGCCCCTCTCCCTGGCACCTACCACTCTCTCCAGGTTCTTGCTGAGCTGGTTCACCATCAGACGCAGCCCAGACAGCTCGCTCATCATGTTGCTCAGCTCCTCACAGGAGTGTGTGCACACGTCAGGCCTCTTCTGCACGCCGTGGCCCACAAAGTCCGTGGTGAGGTGAGGGCTCAGGTGCAGTGTCTCCGTGTGCTCATGGATGGCGTTGGCTTCAGCTGAGGGGAAGCCCGGGAGGTTAGCGGGGCGCTGGCCCTGCAGCTGAGGGGGAGCCCGGGAGGTTAGCGGGGCGCTGGCCCTGCAGGGCCGGCCTGCAGCTGAGGGGAAGCCCGGGAGGTTAGCAGGACACTGGCCCTGCAGGGCGGCCTGCAGCTGAGGGGGAGCCCAGGAGGTTAGCGGGGCGCTGGCCCTGCAGGGCCGGCCTGCAGCTGAGGGGAAGCCCGGGAGGTTAGCAAGGTGCTGGCCCTGCAGCCTGGGAGGTTAGCGGGGCGCTGGCCCTGCAGCCTGGGAGGTTAGTGGGGCGCTGGCCCTGCAGGGCCGGCCTGCAGCTGAGGGGAAGCCCGGGAGGTTAGCGAGGTGCTGGCCCTGCAGCCTGGGAGGTTAGCGGGGCGCTGGCCCTGCAACCTGGGAGGTTAGCGGGGCGCTGGCCCTGCAGCCTGGGAGGTTAGCGGGGCGCTGGCCCTGCAGGGCCGGCCTGCAGCTCACGGCGGGAACCTGCTCAGGGCTGCTCTGCACAGCTCCCGAGAGGCTTCTGGCTAGGCTGTTCCCAAGAACAGGAAGAGCGTGGTACCACTTCCAATTAAGACCCACGCCGAACAAAAGGTTTCAGCCCCATTTCCTAGCATCACTCTCAGTGTTTGGAAAGTCCAGTGCAAAGCAGAGGCTAAGCTCAAGGATGCAGAGATGCAGAGCTTATGGGAAAGGTAAACTCCTATAAATTCCAATCGCACGTCACACGTCTCTGTCACGCTGAGCTACAACAGTTCCCTACGTACTCAATGTGGATCGCCTGCAATTCCATCTGCCCACTACAAGCCCCAAGCCCTCAGAGCCCTCCTCTCCCCTCTTCTGTCCATTCACCCTGACTGGGGCTCCTTTTCTGAACTTGGCATTAAACCAAACATCTGTTTTCTTGCCAAACACAGACACCCCCAGAGCTGCCTCTTTTCTCTGACTTCAGTGGTGGGTCTGCCAGCTAGTTCCTCCCCAAGCAGAGTAGATGAACCCCTTGGAGTCCAGGCCCAGTACAGGGACTCTGCCTCTAACTGACAGTGAAACTGTGCAAACTTTCTACAGCCCTGGTGCCAGGATGCATATGAGTGGGACCATAACTCACAAGTAGATTTGGAGTCAAGTCAAGACACAGAGCCACCCTCTGTCAAGCAGGAGCCCATGACATCTGTTCAGCCCTGGCTTCACACACGCACACTTTTCCTCTCTCTCCCTCTCCTTTCTCCCCACTCTCTCTCTCTCTCTCTCTCGAGTGGCAAGTATTCGCCATGCCCTGTCCTCTCCTGTTGGGACACCCCCTGCTGAGGTATTGTGTGTGCAGGCTACTCTCTGCTAGGCATTGCCTCAGTGAGCTTCAGGTTCAAAGCCCCTGCCCTTCAACTTCAACTCATCATGCTTCTGCCAGCATAAATGTATTTGTAACTCAGTAGACAGAAACACAAGCCTGAAGAGACTGGATTTTGCTCTACATTGACTTTTATTTTTTAACCCCATTACTTATCCACGATGGTTATTTTTCTGTTCGTTAAAAAGAATGTGCTCTGCGTCTGACTGTTCTGAGGTGAGCCTGCCCGGCAGCCCCTCCCACCCCCCTCAGGCCTCACCATCATAGCATTGGAGCTGCTTGGCATCTCCACAGAGTGCACTCACAGTTCCCAAACACATAAAAGATCTGTATTTACCAAGCACCAACTCAGGAACTGGCATTCTCTATAAAATCAGATTTCTTTAACTCCCACAAAGCCAGTGGAGAAGAGCTGACGCTGGCAGAGAACGGGGGTATGCTGGCCTATGCTTTCAGCTAGCCCTTACACATGCATACGCCCTCCCGACACCGTGACAGTGCTGTTCAGAGCACACCCCTCCCGACACCGTGACAGTGCTGTTCAGAGCACACCCCTCCCGACACCGTGACGGTGCTGTTCAGAGCACACCCCTCCCGACACCGTGAACAGTGCTGTTCAGAACACACCCCTCCCGACACCATGACAGTGCTGTTCAGAACACACCCCTCCCGACACCGTGAACAGTGCTGTTCAGAGCACACCCCTCCCGACACCGTGACAGTGCTGTTCAGAACACACCCCTCCCGACACCGTGACGGTGCTGTTCAGAGCACACCCCTCCCGACACCATGACAGTGCTGTTCAGAGCACACCCCTCCCGACACCGTGACGGTGCTGTTCAGAGCACACCCCTCCCGACACCGTGACGGTGCTGTTCAGAGCACACCCCTCCCGACACCGTGACGGTGCTGTTCACAGCACACCCCTCCCGACACCATGACAGTGCTGTTCAGAACATACCTCTCCCGACACCATGACAGTGCTGTTCAGAGCACACCCCTCCCGACTCCGTGACAGTGCTGTTCAGAGCACACCCCTCCCGACACCATGACAGTGCTGTTCAGAGCACACCCCTCCCGACACCGTGACGGTGCTGTTCAGAGCACACCTCTCCCGACACCGTGACGGTGCTGTTCAGAGCACACCCCTCCCGACACCGTGATGGTGCTGTTCAGAGCACACCTCTCCCGACACCGTGACGGTGCTGTTCAGAGCACACCCCTCCCGACACCGTGATGGTGCTGTTCAGAGCACACCCCTCCCGACACCGTGATGGTGCTGTTCAGAGCACACCCCTCCCGACACCGTGACGGTGCTGTTCAGAGCACACCCCTCCCGACACCGTGACGGTGCTGTTCAGAGCACACCCCTCCCGACACCGTGACGGTGCTGTTCAGAGCACACCCCTCCCGACACCGTGATGGTGCTGTTCAGAGCACACCCCTCCCGACACCGTGACGGTGCTGTTCAGAGCACACCCCTCCCGACACCGTGACGGTGCTGTTCAGAACACACCCCTCCCGACACCGTGACGGTGCTGTTCAGAGCACACCCCTCCCGACACCGTGACGGTGCTGTTCAGAACACATCCCTCCCGACACCGTGACGGTGCTGTTCAGAGCACACCCCTCCCGACACCGTGAATAGTGCTGTTCAGAGAACACCCCTCCTGACACTGTGAACAGTGCTGTTCAGAGAACACCCCTCCTGACACTGTGAACAGTGCTGTTCAGAGCACACCCCTCCCGACACCGACACTGTGAACAGTGCTGTTCAGAACACACCCCCTCCAGACACCGTGAACAGTGCTGTTCAGAACTCACCCCTCCTGACACCGTGAATAGTGCTGTTCAGAGCACACCCCTCCTGACACTGTGACAGTGCTGTTCAGAGCACACCCCATCCAGACACCATGAACAGTGCTGTTCAGAGCACACCCCCTCCTGACACTGTGACAGTGCTGTTCAGAGCACACCCCTCCCGACACCGACACTGTGAACAGTGCTGTTCAGAACACACCCCCTCCAGACACCGTGAACAGTGCTGTTCAGAACTCACCCCCTCCTGACACTGTGACAGTGCTGTTCAGAGCACACCCCATCCAGACACCGTGAACAGTGCTGTTCAGAGCACACCCCTCCCGACACCGTGAATGGTGCTGTTCAGAGCACACCCCTCCTGACACCATGAACGGTGCTGTTCAGAGCACACCCCTCCCGACACTGTGAACAGTGCTGTTCACAGCACACCCCCTCCTGACACCGTGACAGTGCTGTTCACAGCACACCTCTCCCGACACCGTGAACAGTGCTGTTCAGAGCACACCCCCTCCTGACACTGTGAACAGTGCTGTTCAGAGCACACCTCTCCCGACACCGTGAACAGTGCTGTTCACAGCACACCTCTCCTGACACCGTGAATGGTGCTGTTCAGAGCACACCCCCTCCTGACACCGTGACAGTGCTGTTCACAGCACACCCCTCCCGACACCGTGAATGGTGCTACACCTACCTTCTGGGCCTTGACGGCAGCCTTTCTTGCGTAGAACATCTTCCACGGAGTTCTCAAACACTAAGTAGACATTCTGCAGCAAGCCCTGTGGAAACATGAGGAACAGCGTGGGATGCAAAGAGAATGGACACTGGTAGCTCCAGGGGCGGGGTCCTTCCACAGAATGTTTTCTCCTCTGCACAAATACTTAGAAAGTTAGAAATCGGCCTATCACCAGCTTCCCTTTTATCGCTACCTTAGAAACTGGATTATAGAGATGAGACCAAAGTGGAAGTGGCAGGTGAAGTTTGCTAACTAGGAAGTCAGGTGTGCAGGTGAGGCACAGGAGGCCGAGGGGCTGTGGACTCCATCTGCTGAGCATGCTCACACTGACACACTGGGGTTCCCTCCAGGGCCTCACGTGTGCTGGTGTGTAGCACAGGGTAGATTCTGGGTCTGCAAGGCAGCCCTCCATACCGTAGAGACGTGGCTCCTGCAGCCACATGGCCACAGGAGGGCCCTCCACTGTGCCCGGTCACCCAGTAACACAGCACGCAGCCTTTTGTGCAAGCAGCAGCTTTAACATGCATGCATGTCTAGAGGGGATGCACACATTGCCTCCCACCTACACTGGCTCACACACATGACAAATTCTTCTAGTTAAACAGGACTGCAAGCCTGCTGTGCATTCAGCTCACTTCAACTGCAGAATGCAGCACACTGTCCTTTCTCCCCTAGTGACAGAAGATGGGCTGGGAGATGGATGTGCCACTGCTCAGTACCTGATGGAGGGTCAGACACTAACCGGGCAGCTTGCAAGAGACCCACAGTGAGAATCCAGTCTGGTCTCCACCGAGTGTCTGACTTTCCCAGCATCCAGGGGAAGGAACCTAAGGGAGCCACCAGAACCAGTTCCTCTGCACAGACACCTCAAATGCTCGTGGCTTTGTGTAGCCCTGCTCCAGACTTCCTAGCAGGGCAGATACATAGCTATTCTCCCACAAATCCAGAAAGACAGTTTCTAACTAGCTCGCTTTTCAATCCATCGCCAAAGCAAAGACTGGAGAATGGCTTCAGCCCTAACAGAATCATTCCAGGATTGTCAGGGCATGTGCGGCGGGGTCAGGCCGCTGGATTCTGACCAGCCCTCAGTCCCATCACTCACTGACCTTGTACTGGCAAGCAACCCGTGACTGCTGCCCTGCTCTGCCCAGGTTAGGGTGTGCCAGCTGTGTGTGTGTGTGCGTGCGTGTGTGGAGGGTTGAGGGCATGTGGGGAAGGTCTGTGCTCTGCGTGCAGTGTGCAAGGTTGTGCGCGAGTGTCCATGAATGCACATGACTTATCTGTCTGACTGCTGATGGGTGGTACTCGTGCATAGGTGGCCCAGTATGTCTGCATGCTGCGTACATGTGCAAGTGTGTGTGGTGCATGTGTACACCTGTGTACACATGTGAGCATGCATGTGTACTCGTATGGAGTGTTGTACAAGTGTGTGCTTATGTGAGATGCATATATACCTCTGTTCATGGTAGTTAGTGTTTGTATATGTGCATGCAGGTAAATGCAAAATGTGTGTGCACAATGGTGCAAGCATGTGTGCAAGTGTGGTATCCAGTGTGTTTGCCTGTGTGGAGTGTTTTCACGCACATGGAGATGTAGCATGTTTGTGAGCACATGTGTGAGTGTGAGCAGAAGGGACCCTTGTGCACGCAGGTATGTGTTGTGTGCCATGCTGTGTGCTGCTCCAGCCCATTAGCTGACATAGCTTCGTCAACGGCTGCCACCCAAGCTGCATACACACCCTGAAGTGGCTCTCTCGGGAGGCTCCTCTGGCCACGTACATCCTGCTCCTGTCCACAGTCAGCTGCTCATAAAAGGGCTCGTCCAGGGTGAAGCTGTCGATGAGGTCACAGCCCACATACAAGCTGTAGGTCTCCCCGGCCACCTGAACAGTGACATTCTTCCACTGGGAGTCGGCCAGGCCCACGTCCTCCAGCGAGACCATGTGCCGCGCACCCTCTACCCAGTAGGCAAGGTCCAGGGTGTCTCTTGGGCCATTGGAGATGATCTCAAACTGCCTCTGGGAGGCACCAGGGCCCTCCAGAGCCAGCAGCGTTCCCTGGGACTTCCGGTCCTGCTTCAGCTGGGCCATGAGGAAGAAACCATCCTTCTGCCGCATGACCTTAACAATCCTGCCAAGGTCGTCTGAGTTCACCGGGGGGATGTAGTCAAAGCGGACAAAGCGGTAAGCCGGGACACCGGGGTCAGGCCCTCGGAACTGCTTGGCTCCGATGGTCTTCCGGTTTATGTTGCTGAGGCTGAAGAGGTCGAAGGTAGTATCTGCATGCTGGTCACCGGCTGCCGAAGGGAAGCGCAGGGCTGAGTCACCCACAGCAGGGGCTGGACTGGCCGGGCTCCGCGGACAAGCCACAGGCTAGAGCCATGCAGCCCGGGTGGGCACCAGGCACGTGTCATGCTTCCCCTCCATCACGGACACCGAGCCTGCCGCAGCCCATCTCCCATTCAGGGCTTTGTGGAAGCCTGCACCACGTGATTGTGGGGCTACATCCTGATCCCAGAGGCTGAATTACCGTCCCTCACCTAGACACACTGGCCAGCCCATCCTCCCACCGGCCCACCTGCTGCTGCAGACCAGCGAGCCCAGCTCAGGGCAGCATCCTCCTCCCAGCACGTGACCGCTGGAGCCGTGCCAGGAGGAAGAGGGTCTTGAACCTCTCTGGGGATGGGCTTCTGATTGCACTAAGTGACATGGCTGCTTCTTGTGGGACATTCTGCCTTACACAAAGGGTACTGTCGCACCTTATTTTTTTTTAATAAAAATGTGATCTCCAAACTCGACTGCACTGTGTGGTTAAAACTCTCAGACAATGGGCTCTTGAGTCCACAAGTGAATGGTTTAAGTCACCATACAACAGCTCAAAGGAAAGCATCGGCTCTCACCAATATTGTAACAATTTAAATAATCCAAAAGAATAATCCATAAAGATGAAAACATCATAATACACAGTTGATGACAGAACTGTGAACTCTACAATCTTAACAGACATATTGACAGTAGTATACATAATTCAAATAATTTAACCCTTTGTCTACTGCTACAAAAAGTATCAGTCTCAGTTTTGCAACTTATTTATTTACAACACTGTTCCTGCCAATAGTCACACAGTAACAGTGAAGCAGAAATCTGAGAAAAAATTGCTCCACTAACATTAGGGCTTATCTGTGATGGGAAATCACAGAGTCCTTAAGATTATGTTGGAGAAAATAAATGTCTGGGAAAGTATTTACTAGAAACATTTTAGCAGGAAGGAAGTGGGGAGAAACAAAGATACAAAACAAAATCTTCACAGTTTTGAAGCGCTGCTTGTAGATGAAGGCTGTCCGGTGCGGAGGGAAAGCCTGGGTTCCGGGGGATTTGGTATGAAACCTGGCCTTTCCTAACAGAACTCATTTCCTAGCAGCTGGTGTCTGGCCTGCAGCTAAGCCCTGTCCATGGCAGAGCCCACGCTGTCCACACTCACCCAGAGCCCATGGCCACGCCCACAAGGCCAGCAGGACCAGCCTCCAGAGCATCCTGCCGCCTGCTGCGACTCCTAGGAGAAAAACCAGCCCTCATTAGTGAAGTGCACACAGCTGCAGCTCTGACTGTGGGCTAGGCTGCTTGCCCACGTGATCTCTCCAAAGCACTGTGTATGGAAAAACCAAAAGCAAACATCCTTGTGTGAAGTTGAAGCTCTGCTTTGCTGTTAGGGTCTCACAGCTGCTAGTGCTGCATGCACTGGCGTTCCCGATACTCCTGCAGTGGAAGCCTCAGAACAACCCATGAACAACCGCCATGAACGTGCCCACAGAGGAGAGGGCAGCTGCTGGCCGGCCCTCATTAATCCAGTTACAAGCTGTAGCCAGGGCTTAGCTCCAGAAGCTTGCATTCAGAAAAACTTCAGCGTGGTGAAAATAATCTGTGAAGGCATCTGGCCAATGTCCAAGGGGAAAAAAAAAACAGTTATGCATAATTTAAATAGAATCAGGATCAACTGCATTTCAAAGTTGGAAACAGACTTAGTGTATCACTCTTAGGAGAAACAGAAGATTTCACTTAGCAACGATTCTTACCCTACTTTCTATTTTCCTGCAGGCCTGTTTTTCCATTCTCTGGGATTCTAAATTGGCATGGCTTACCAGACACTGGACCAGAAGTCAGGAGACCTGGAGCGCAGCCTGGCTCCACTGTTAACTGTCTCAACTCCTCTTCCTGGTGAGGAGGCGCAGGGCTGTGGTGGTGTCCTGAGTCCCTCACACCCCAACGGGTGTGAAACCTACCGCTCTGATCCCAACCCCTCCCCTGTTTAGACCACCATGCTGATTGAATTCTCATTGTTAAGGAAATCCAAGAATCTGCCTCTAGAAAGACTTGGCAAGGTAAAATGGCCTTCCAGGTTCAAGGGCCGTCCTATGGAGGGCAATGCTCAGTGGGCTCACAGGTCTCCTCCGGAGGCCAGCGGCCACGTGGGGCTTCCACGGTGGCTTTGCCACCGGATGCCTGGTTTTCAGCTGTCACGTGGCAGGTGGAAGGACTGTAGCTCTGAACTACAGCCTGGCGTGACTGGGCTCCAGCTTTGCTACCCAGATGGCTTCTTTATGCTCTCTGGCTCCGTTTCCTCATCCCTCCATGGAAAACAGCTCTCTACAGCATGTGCTGGCTGGGTTGTTATGGAGTTACAGCAAGCAGATTAGATGGCCCTCAAGCACTTTTTAGCAAGCTGGATCCTGAGCTGTTCCTGCCTGAAGTCTGGGGCTCCTGGTGGCTTCTGCCCACAGTGACAGCGCAGAGCTCCCTGAGCCCTGCCGCATACCCAGAACAGTGCCGGTGCACAGAGTGTGTTCCCGGGGCTGGTGTTCCCGGGCAATCGTGGTGTGGAGGTTTCCTAGCCATTCCTGCCGCCTGTCCCCTCGCACAGCACAGCTGGCCCCACCCCAAAGTGCAAACTGCACGGCACAGGTGAACAGCCGCACCAGCACCGGCTGACATGCTGAACTGGGCAAAATCCGTCCCAAACAGAGCGTCACACGCACCAGTGGCACCAATCCCACCTCACCTCGGGGGCGAGTCACAGCGCACAAGCACACGGGAGGGATGGCGTCCTGGTGTGAAAGCCTGCGGCTCTGGTGACCCGACAATGCAACTGCATCACAGTTCCACAGACAAACTCACTCCCATCCCTGAGCCTCCTTCCTTCCACATAGCCATGCTAGATGTTAGATTTTTTTTCTAACTCCTTCTTGAAGCAGACTGCAACTGAACTTGATGAAGGTTCTATGAATTCTTCTAAAATGAGTATCAAATTGGGAAAAGTGACTGCAATGCGTCCATCAGGCCCGTGTGACCAGCTCGGCTCCCAGGACCAGTGCCGCTGCCTCCCCTGTCTCCAGCTGACCTGTCCTCCAGCTGCCCGAAAAGCTGCCAGCCCATTTCATACACACCCTTTCCCCAGACTTCAAAACGGCAGTGTGATGCTCTCCACAGACTACCTGTGACAGCAAGACCTGCGCAGTTGTTGGTGAGATAAGAGTTAGACTCTATAATGACTTCATATTCACGCTTCTGGAAACTGTTTGCAATGCCTTTCTTGTGGCTCCTCTCCAGTAACAAAGTCCCGGTGTGGAAACTTACTCCGGATCTGAATCCGAAGCTCCGCATGGCCCAGGCAGCACACAGATGAAAGCAGCAGAACCTGGGCAGGGGCCAGAGCCGACGGGGTCCAGCAGGACCCTGCAAGCCAGACCTCAAAGTCAGGTCTCCAATCAATTAACACGATGCATTTGAGAAAGGGCTGCTGCCGGGGCAGGATGGGAAGGGGTATGCCCACCACTGCAACTCAGGAGCCTGTCTTGCATATGTTTCTGCTCTCCTACCGGACATCAAGAGCCTTTTCTGAAAGCTACAGCCCAAAGAAATAACTAAGTGAATAAATGGTGCACAGTACCTGGTACGCCGGGAGGCCGGCGATGGCTGCTTTCGGTGACCAGGTCCAGAGAGGGCAAGGATGAGGTGCTGGAGGAGACAGGGTCCCGGGTGGAGGCTGCTGGCCGCTGGACACTCTCCCTGCCTCCAGGCGGCAGCCTTTATATGCTCCTCTCCCAGAGTGGCCCTGCCAATCACACACACGAGGAGGCACGTTTAATTCATTCCTTCGAAGGAATGACCTAATTCCTCTTTCCCATCTCACCATTTGCTCTGAGTACCTGCATCTGAGTCCAAGTCCAGCCCCTTCCCCTCATGCTGGGTGCCGCCCCCTCTCCGCGTCTACCCTGGGCTTGCCAGACAGGGTCAGGGAGGAGCCAGACAGAGGGGAAAAGCAGGGACTCACTTTTCCTGTCTTCTCTCAGGAAAGAAAATGCTATAAATAAAACCAGCAAGATTGGCTGGAACTCCCTATTTTGCTTAAGAGAAAAGTATGCAAGTTCTATGCTTTAAATATGTTTCAAATTATCCAATGTGATATTGGCCTTTCCGAATGAAGTAAGCAGTCATCGGTAACACAAAAGAAGTCAGCGGGTGCAAATGCTTGCACTCAGCCTTGGTGAAGTTCCCACATGTAAGAATTAATGTTGTCATGCATGAAATCTTTAGTGTAAAAGAGTCCACAAACCACTCCAGGCAAGGGGCACAGCAGAGGCATGGCTGTGGGGTAGGATTTGTTTTCAATTAAACACAGTTTGTGTATTACTGCACAATGTCCTCCTGCAGATGCGCAGTGTCCCCTGCAGATGTGCAGTGTCCCCTGCAGATGCGCAGTGTCCTGCAGATGCACAGTGTCCTCTTGCAGATGTGCAGTGTCCTCCTGCAGATGTGCAGTGTCCCCTGCAGATGCGCAGTGTCCTGCAGATGAGCAGTGTCCCCTGCAGATGTGCAGTGTCCTCCTGCAGAGGTGCAGTGTCCTCCTGCAGATGTTCAGTGTCCCCTGCAGATGTGCAGTGTCCTCCTGCAGATGCGCAGTGTCCCCTGCAGATGTGCAGTGTCCTCCTGCAGATGTTCAGTGTCCCCTGCAGATGTGCAGTGTCCTCCTGCAGATGCGCAGTGTCCCCTGCAGATGTGCAGTGTCCTCCTGCAGACGTGCAGTGTCCTCCTGCAGATGTGTAGTGTCCCCTGCAGATGCGCAGTGTCCTGCAGATGAGCAGTGTCCCCTGCAGATGCGCAATATCCTCCTGCAGATGTTCAGTGTCCTCCTGCAGACGTGCAGTGTCCTCCTGCAGATGTGCAGTGTCCTGCAGATGTGCAGTGTCCTCCTGCAGATGTGCAGTGTCCCCTGCAGATGTGCAGTGTCCTGCAGATGTGCAGTGTCCTCCTGCAGATGTGCAGTGTCCCCTGCAGATGTGCAGTGTCCTCCTGCAGATGTGCAGTGTCCCCTGCAGATGTGCAGTGTCCTCCTGCAGACGTGCAGTGTCCTCCTGCAGATGTGCAGTGTCCTGCAGATGTGCAGTGTCCTCCTGCAGATGTGCAGTGTCCCCTGCAGATGTGCAGTGTCCTGCAGATGTGCAGTGTCCTCCTGCAGATGTGCAGTGTCCCCTGCAGATGTGCAGTGTCCTGCAGATGTGCAGTGTCCTCCTGCAGATGTGCAGTGTCCTCCTGCAGATGTGCAGTGTCCCCTGCAGATGTGCAGTGTCCTCCTGCAGATGCGCAGTGTCCTCCTGCAGATGTGCAGTGTCCTCCTGCAGATGCAGTGTCCTCCTGCAGATGTGCAGTGTCCGGCAGATGTGCAGTGTCCTGCAGATGTGCAGTGTCCTCCTGCAGATGCGCAGTGTCCTCCTGCAGATGTTCAGTGTCCCCTGCAGATGTGCAGTGTCCTCCTACAGATGTGCAGTGTCCTCCTGCAGATGTGCAGTGTCCTGCTACAGATGCGCAGTGTCCTCCTGCAGATGTTCAGTGTCCTCCTGCAGATGTGCAGTGTCCTCCTGCAGATGTGCAGTGTCCTCCTACAGATGCACAGTGTCCTCCTACAGATGTGCAGTGTCCACATGCAGATGTGCAGTGTCCTCCTGTAGATGCGCAGTGTCCTCCTGCAGATGTTCAGTGTCCCCTGCAGATGCGCCATGTCCTCCTGCAGATGCGCAGTGTCCTCCTGCAGATGCGCAGTGTCCTCCTGCAGATGTTCAGTGTCCTCCTACAGATGTGCAGTGTCCTCCTACAGATGCGCAGTGTCCTCCTGCAGATGTGCAGTGTCCTCCTGCAGATGTGCAGTGTCCTCCTGCAGATGCGGTGTCCCCTGCAGATGTGCAGTGTCCCCTGCAGATGCACTGTGTCCTCCTGCAGATGCAGTGTCCTCCTGAAGATGCACTGTGTCCTGCAGATGTGCAGTGTCCTCCTGCAGATGTGTAATGTCCTCCTGCAGATGCGCTGTGTCCTGTAGACGTGCAGTGTCCTCCTGCAGAGATGCAGTGTCCCCCTGCAGATGCGCAGTGTCCCCTGCAGATATGCAGTGTCTCCTGCAGATGTGCAGTGTCTCCCTGCAGATGTGCAGTGTCCTGCAGATGCGCAGTGTCCCCCTGCAGATGTGCAGTGTCCTGCAGATGCA